TTCTTTCGTTGAAGACTTTAATCATAAATGTACCTAACTTTATCCTGATTTCCTAAAGTAATGAGGCTTTTTGAGCATGCTGTGTCTGTCTCCTTTTTTTATTTTGCTAGCCAACTTGAGTAAATTTAAAAGATAAATCATAGGCATACTGTGCTCCTGTAAGCTTCATGAAAATCTCCAAACACCTGCAAGGGAGATGCCCAAGCATGTGCTAATAAATCTTCCTGGGAGAGCTGCTTTGCAATGGAAAACTAGGGGAAATGTTCCACTGTGCACAGAAACAAAGGCTTATAAGGGGAGCAGTAAGTTCTGTGTGCAAGACGCCTGGTGGCTACACTGAAGTTTCTTAGTTTTGGATTGGAGAGATAGCTATAAGGTTCACGGTGTAGCTTATTCTGTCTGTTGAGTAGCTGGGTAGTTGCTTTAGTAAGGGTAGAGCTGTTAGAATTTCCATGAGCATGGGAAATTTCTTGGAAGACAAATTTATTGGATGTAGGCATGCTAGCTGCATTGGGCAGATGGGGAGAGAGAGACCAAGGTTTTGGAGGCTGGAAGAACTTAAGATGGCTGTGTTAGCTGCGTCTTTAATCCGTCAAGAATTCTCTACCTTTTCTAGAAAATGTTCCTAGATCTAGCTCTGTGGAAATATACCTATTTCTGTCTACTTTTCAATTTGGAGTGGGGTGGAGGGAGGGACGGTGGCAGCAGGGCTGAAGATATGAGAGTGCTCTCTTCCTTTCTTCTTCCTTGACAAAAACCCTTGTAAAATAGGGACCTGTTCATTAAATCCGTGGATGTTTCCAGAAAACTTGGAATTGATTAGATGGATAGGTAAGACGTTACCATGTTACATCAAGAGGTAATGAGGAATAACTTCAAATTTCCATACAGGACCTGGTATACAATCACATTGTATATAGGCTTGGTAATCTTGTATCATTCAACAAGGGAACTGTTGTCAGCAATATTATCTGTGGATCGTTGCCCACGTTAGCTCCTGTTAGTGAGCTAAAGATACAAATAATACACGCTTAATCCAGTCAGTCCTCTGTGACAGATTTATTTTTGATCTATTCAGGATAAGAATGCATTACATCTCTATTCTGTCAATGGAAAATATCTGGGTTCTGAGACTCTGAAGGAGGAAGTGTCAGATATGTGTGTGACTGGCGAGTATATCGTGATGGGCAGCTTACAAGGATTTCTTTCCATACGGGATCTCTACAGGTAATGTACCACCATTGAAATGTACCACATATCATTATTGAAATGCAAATATAAAGGCTTATTGAGAAATGGCTGTGTAATGTGGACTTTGCTTGGTGCTGTATGTGGTAGCCTTTGCTTTTTTCTGTGTCCCTGAAAAAACTCTTTTAAGGGTGAACTAAGATAGGGAGAAAAATGAAAATTGAGAAGTTGTACCAGACCCCTTGCTTCCCAGGCATTTATCCCAATTATACACCTAGAACTGACAGAGTTTAGGAAGAGCTGTGTCTGACATCTGCAAGCTGTGATTGTGCCCCTGTCTGATTAGTCACTAGGAGCTCAGCAACTGCAGGATCAAGCCTCATGTTTTGAGTTTAACTCATGGACTGAATTTTAAACTCCACTTACTGCTACGCTCTGTAGAGCTCTGTTGCCCAGAATGGGAGTGATCTTTGTCACTTAGGAAGTTATGGGACTAATGTTACTGTTCTTCAGTGAAAATGTCTTAATTTAGTGACTTAGGCATCCATGCCTTTTCTTGTTATTGGAACTCTGTTCTGGGGTATGATTAGCTCATTCCGTAGGAGTTTACAGTAATTGAAATTGCAGACTGGATCCTTGAGAAACTGTGTTTTATAGTCCATCCTGCAGACAGCAATTTCAACTGCAGTGTGATTCTTTGCAGCATGTGCACACAAATACATGATGTGCTTTCTCTTTGTGGTTTTTGTTCATTTCAGCCTCAGTCTGAGCATCTCCCCTTTAGCCATGAGACTGCCAATTCATTGCATTTCTGTCACCAAGGAGTACAGCCACATCCTTGTTGGCTTGGAGGACGGCAAGTTGATTATCGTTGGTGTTGGCAAGCCAGCAGAGGTAAAACCCACCATCAAGAACTTTTTCTACCGAACAGTGGGAAGTTCACTTATTTCTGCTTTCCAGTTGAGCAAGAGGTCTCCTCTATGGCAGGGTAAATTTAAGAGCAAGTTTCAGTTTTCAGTGGGAAAGAAATAACCGTTGAGACTGCTGTGCTGAAATTTCTCATTAAAAATCAAAGGTGTATAGGGGTCACAGATGGGAAACTCAGCTGGACTAACTTCCAGACTTTATCACATCTGAATAAGCAAAGTCATAGTAGCTAACCTTTTCTGAACATGATAGTGTGTTGTCAGCCACTTCTTGATGAAGTATGTTTCCAGAAGAAAATTGGAAATGAAAGAGAGTAAGCTACTCTACTTTATTTTTTTATGGTTTCTGTCAGATATCTTCTAATATGCGCTTATTTCTGTAAGAGTCTCTAATTGCAATGCACAAAGAGTTGCTTGTATAGGTTCCCAATATGCTCTGTGCTCCATATGGTGAATATAAACTTGTTGCTACTGCATATGCAATATCAAATACAGAGCATCCATCTGTCAAATAGCTATGCCCAATTTTTCTTGTGCAAAACATAGGTTTTGCTTTAAGTACGTCTCGTTGTGACTTTCAAAGTACTTTTAGTAGTACTTTTTTACTTTTAGCTTAAACCTGCTTCTCTTTATAACCCGATCTCTGTGGTGCTGCAGTGTATTTATTTGAAAATGTGATTATCACTTTTGCATGAACTTTAGTACATGCCAGAAAAGTGTGTCTTAATTTAATTTTATATTTTAATTGTGAAAAACAGAGTGACTTTATTTGCCAGTATTTTTCAATGTTTTGCCTAGGAGATACATAGTTTAATATTTGAAGCAGGCTTCACACAATGGTAGTCTGATTTTGCTTCCAGCGGATGGGGAGGGAGGTTTCTACTCACTTCTGGCTAGACAGCTTTTTGCTACTGTAGAAATGACAAAGAGCTGCTTGTGATGTGGTTAAACATGTTTGTAACAGCAGTTTTAAAGTCACCGACATTTCTAAGGTTCCTATTCCATAGGAAAGATCTTTTGTAGGCTGAAATTTATGTATCTTGTTAGCCTGAAGGCTTTTTGTTTTCTTTTTTCAGTTCTTAATCACATCTATTTTTCTAACTATGAAGAAAGTGTTGTTTTAAAGACTGGATTCCTTTTATGAACGTAGAAGCTTTCCAATGACTTTTTTCCAGGATTTTCTGTTTATAATTCAGATGATCTGCAAGCTTAATATGTGAATAGATTTTTTAAGAAAAATATCTCAGATGTCTAAGGAACAATATTATGTCCCAGATTTTCTAGTTTTCTATGATGGTATCAATCCATATATTTGAAAAGTGTGTGTATGTGGGGTATTTATTTGTTTATTGATTTATTTGTAGTTTGGAAGGTATGTATTAATTACTAGAATTTCATGCTTATACAGAAGACAGTGTTGTAGTTCTGGATTTCAGTGGTGATACTGATCCTTAGGATAAAAGGAGACACTGACCTTTATTGTGCATAAAGTGAAATGCTGCTTGGTATTAAGATTGGCCTTTAGTGTTTCTGCATTGACAGTATCCAGTATGAAGTGAAGTATAATAAATGTTTTTGTATTTTTAACAATTACTCAGCTATTTGGGGTGTTGCAGAGGTCTGGGGGATTATTGCCTGTTAGTGTTAATCCCTGTCAGCACTGTGCCTTTTCTAGAACACTGCTGCTGTGATGATATAGTTCTTAAGCATGCTTAATTTGTAGTACTAACTGCTGGGAACTTTTCTCAAACTTGTGCTGTTAAGGCATGCATCTTGTTTATTGAACTGCAAGGGATTTCATAAACTAATCAGCTGCCAGGCTGATCACTACTGGCCAATCATAAGCTTTGTACTTGCAGAGTAAAGTAAAACAGTTTCTTACAAATTGTTATCAGATTGCAGACCTACCAGATGCTGGATTTCATATGGCCTCTGGTTGCTTGTTATCTGTCTTTACTTATGGAATATTCAGTATGAATTATTTTTGGTTGAAATTTTACTCTGAGCACTTCACCTAGGATCTTTGGAAGACTGTATAAATTTGACACCAGAAGATAACCTTTCTCTCTTTCCTTCCTTCTGCCATCACTGCCCTGCATTTTGGTTATCTTTTCCGTTTCACTTCTAGCACTTTCTGTTTGAAATCTCTAAAATAAAATGTCCTTTCTTCTAATTTGGTTAATTTTTGCTTGATATTCACCTCTTTTTTCCTTCCTATCAAAAAAGCAATCTAAACACTGTTTCTAAGCCATTTGAAGTAGGTTAAGTATTAAGTACACATTACTTGGCAATATCCCTTTAACTATTCAAAATCAGAGAAGACTGTGATTAGTATTTTGTCTGTTGTTTTTTGTCAGTCCCAAGAATCATCCCTAAGTGTAACTTTTGGTTTGTTTTTGAATAATTTTTGTTGGTGTAATTTTGTTTATGTGGTACATTGTAGTGTCTGCATTTCACCAGAATCAGTGTCTGAATTCCTTTTTAATTTATCCACCTTATCCCTTCCCCCTCCTTTTGTTTCTCTGAATTACTTTTAAACAGATGCGCTCAGGTCAGCTTTCCCGAAAGCTGTGGGGATCAAGCAAACGGCTCAGCCAGATTTCATCAGGAGAGACTGAATATAACACTCAAGATTCCAAGTGATTGCTGCTCCTACCTTCTCTCATGGATTCCAGAAACATGTTTAATCTTTTGGTCACTTTAAATGTATATCTCAATTTTCAGGGGCTTGATTCTTAAGTCTGTTGAAGATGAATCTATGGTAGAGGTATAGTAATAAGCATACGTATTTATGCAAGTTAGCTTGCTTGCATATTTTTCCTTATTTGTGTTGACTTGGTCACAGCAGAATCCCTCTCCAAGTAGCTGCTAAAACTGTGTTTCAGAAAAAAAGAAAAAGAAAACAAACAAACAAACAAACAAATCTCCAAACCCAAGCTTGCTAATAGAATTTAAGATAAGTAGCATTTGATTTGAAGCTGAATAGAGCCAGATGCTCCTTGATCACAAAGAAGATATTTGGCTTTGCTTTGACAGCATTGTAATTCTCCAGCAGTAAATTAAAATTCTGGCAGTTGCCGTGATCAGATTCAAAATTGGTATAGCTGACAGTTATGATCTTTTTGATATGTTTTTTAGCCCAATGAACAATTTATTGCAATTTGTTCCTGTAAATGGCTACTGCTATTTTCTTTTGTGTAGTTCCAGTTTTAGCCTGTTCTGCAAGGAACATCTGTGTTGCACTACTTGATTATCAGAAATTGTTTAAAGTACAGACGTTAATAACTTCAGAGGAGTTGAAGGTGGTGAAGGAGCTGGAGGAGGTAGGAAATACTCGCTGCTGAAAATTATTTATATTGTTAAGTAGGCTAAGACATACACCAAGAAATCCCATAATATATTAGTATCTCGAAGAAACACAGAGGAAGAATCAGTATCTGTATTGGACAGAGATCAGTCTGCTTCGTTAGTAAGGCAACTCCTACAAACGAAAGATATATTTCCACTGCAAAATCATTTAAACATTGCAGCACAATTTAATTAAATAGCACCTGTTTGTTTCTTGGCTTGGTGTTCACCAAACCAGTTGTTAGCCATATTTTTTTCTGCAAAAACAAGCAGGGAAACAGATAATCTGTCCATTTTCAAGATGTGTTTAAGACCTGGGAAAAGAAAATACCAGATCCTTATGTGCGCTATATCCAACAAAATAGTTATGGATTGTATAGTATATTTTGGAGAAGCCATTACTGAATTTTTTTGGTTTAGCGATACATGATGATGACAGAAGGGTGTGTGTTTACCTATCATTCTGACATTTTTATAATGTAAATGATTTAAATGATAAACCCCATACTGTTGGAAAAGCCTGGTGCTGAGGGAAAAATATGAATTTTTGGATCGGCTTGTAAAGGTATGTGTGCATGTGTATATATGTGTGTATGTTTATGTGTATATATATGTATATACATGTATGTATGTCTATTAAAAGGAGAAAATACCATGGGGTAAGGCTATTATAGATATAAGGCAGAGCTATAAGTGATTGTTAGATGGTATGTTCCCTTTTGGCTACCCCTTTCTTCCCTCTACCATCACTTTTCTTGTTATTTTTATTTATTTATGGAAATGAATGTGTGTTGTATCTCCTGTAAATGTTATCAGATATTCCCTGTGGTTGGGGAGCTGCTGAACTACCTGAGGAACTCCATAATGTATAATCTCATTTCACTAACTTTCAGCAGAATATTTATTAACTTTGTAGAAATAGTAATACCTTCTTACCCCATGAAAGGATAATTTTTACAAGTTCTGTTAGTCTCATTAAAACTTTTCTCCTCCTCCATTTCTTTACTGGAAAAAAAAAAAAATCCCTCTTAATGACTGATCAGTGTGCTGTGTAAAAAAAGTTGTGTTGCTTTTTCTTAACTTTTGTAAATGAAAAAATAAATCAGACTAGTGAACAAGTGGGTCTATGCATAGTTGCAATATTCTAACTAATCACTGTGACAGACTGGATCGTCTGGAAATTTAGGAGAAAATAAGAATTATTTCCCTGAGTCACTTGCCAAGAGAGCATTAAATTTCCAAAAGTAGAGTAGTGTGTTTTTTTCAGACTCCATGTAAGTAAAAAGAACACATCCCGTATTTCCAAATAAGCTGTAGCGAAGTGAAAAATATTATTTTTAATCATTTACCTATCCAGTAAGAATACTAAGGATACTCTGGAAGTATTAAGTGTGTATATGAAATGTGAAGTATGTTTGTCCATTATAATTTCATGAAGAAAGGATTTCAGGGGAGCTCTTTTGAGAGTGGTTTAGAAGAATTTCGGCTCAGAATGTGAGATTTTTGTGTGTAATGGGAAGGTGAAAAAAGAACTTATTTGGGGCATTGAGTTGATGGGTTTTATAAATATGCATATATGTTCTGTTTAAATGCATATATGAGGTTCAGCGTTTACTTGCAGGAAGAAATTATGATGTTTGGGGCTGGGCTAGCAGAATCAAGTGGAAAAACTGAGAAGATAGGTCTTTTGTAGTGTGTGGTGAGAGCATGGTTTTCCTATTGTCATTTGCACAGAGGAGTTTGCATAAGGGTTTGAAAACGTCCTACTGTGGGTTAGGTATGTTTATACAACAGTTGAATTAATGTTTTTAGTAGTTTAATATTAAAGAATACTGAATACACTGTGTCAGTTTAAGTAAAATATAATGTAGCTGCAATAATTGGGGATGAAAGAGTTTATGGTGAAGAGCTTTGACATTTGAATACCATCATTTTGGTGCATCACAAGCATTAGGTGATCTTCACAAATACCTGGGATGGGTTTAAATGTGGACAGTTCTTGGGCTCTCAAACTTGAGGCTAGTTTGTGCTCTGCACAAAGCAGCAGCAGCAGAATGAGGAGGGGAACAGGTGAGCTCTGAGCTGCCTCATGCTCCGTGCAGAATGGCAACAACTGTTGCCTTTTGATCTTTTAGCTAGTCGTTGAGGATGGGAGGTATACACCATCACACGCTTAGCATTCTGCTAGAGGCCCTCTGGAAAGACCCCCATAGGTTTAAAGGTCTGCACTTTGCCCTTATCTAAAACCAGCTTTAAATAAAAGGTATAGGTGGTTAAGTGTGAGCATTAGCTGGTATGTTGGTTTTTTGGTGTTTTAACTTATTTGTATGTCTTTTTAAAAGTAGAAAATAATTTTTCTGATCAGCTGTTTAGGTTGGTTGAATTGCAGTCTGTTATGCAGTGCACTGTGAATTAGTGAACTGACTTTCATAATTCTTTGGTTTCCTCAAGTCAATAAAGCTTAGGATCACATTTTGTTTTTCATGTAGTATTGGTGAAGTAAGATTCTCCTTTGGTTTTGAACTAAGATTTATTTAAGTGTAAAAAGTAAAGCTGTGAGATGAGAGAATTCTGATAAGGAATTCAGAATAAACAAGTCTTAAGCAACAGGTGTTTCATAACACTACATTTGTCAAGATATTCTTGGTGGTATCTTCTTACATTTAATTTTTGGAACAACCCTAATGATATTTATCAAAGTTTAAGATATGCTTACCTTTAAAGCTGAGTAAGTAGGAATGTGTGTATATATATATATATGTAACTAAAAGAAACTGAAAACTGATTCTCTTTTCATACCTGTATATAAATGAGATCAAGTAGTTAGCAGTATTGAATAACTTCTACCTAGCACAGTTTTGAACTAGCATACCAAAGGATGGTATTTAGAAGACATCTCCCCTTTATTTCAAGTAGAATGTTTTGTTAAATTTCTCTCTATCAATTTACTTGTAATTCTTGATAGTATTTTTAGTTGACCTTTTTATCTATAGTGAAGAATCTCATCTAGTCTGTGCAGTTCTTGTACTATATGAGCATTCAGAAAGTGAAATGTTTGCTGTTCACGTTAGCACCTGACTTAGGCAAATTACTCTGTATCAATATACTTTTTACCTAGTACTCATAGGATATCTAGAAACCATGTCTTGTATCATTCGTGTACCTTACCAACACCAGCACAAAGTAATAATCCCAATCTTAAACTAACTGCACTTTTGATGGTTAATACCCATTGTGGGAATTGGGTTTTAGGAAGTTTGTTTGATTTAAAAAGAAAAAAACAACCCCAAACCAGTAACACCTGCACACACATTAAAATTGTTTTGCTCATCTGCAACGCTGGTATAAACAAGCTTTTTTCCCCCAGTATACCTTAGACCATGAATATTACCACAAAATAAGTTCATCAAAGTATTTACAGGCTTTAAATAGTCTACTCAATTGGCTACTTTATAAGGATCCTCTTTAAAGTTGTATTTCTGTGTCCTCTAAATGAAGTGCAAAGAACTAATTTTCTGCACTGTAAAAATTCTGTATGGGACTGTTAACAATTCTACATTAGTCTGCTTTAAGATAGTCCTGCAGGAATAATAAATTGATTTTTATTTGTAACGCACAGTAATTAGGTAGGTCTTTTAACTCTTGCCTTAGTCGATGGGAGCTGTATACCTCACTTCTCTAGACCATGTCTCCCTCCTCCCTGTTTCCTCTGCAAGTCTTTCCCAACCTCAGCTAACAAAATAATTAGAAAATACATGTACAGCAACCAAATGCTTCACAAAGCTTTTACTATGTAGATGAAAATGTGTATCTATATATGGATTATGGTACGGTAGGGAGCTTTAGAGCTAGGGAGGGGAGTAAGAGGGAGATATCAGCCTCCTTCCACTCCTACACTGAGAGTCTGTGTAGACACTTGCTCTGTATCATCACCTGAAGGCGCTCCTTTCTTCCACTGTTAAAGGCACCTTGCTGGCTAGCTTAGACGCTGAGGCTAGGTACTGTGAATATTTTTTTTTTTCCTTTCAAAGAATTAAAAAAAAAAAAAAAAAGAACAGCAACATATAAATATGTATCCTAATGTTAGCCTAAGGCCTGATCTAATAAATACTGATAGATGAAAGCACTACATAGGGTTATACTTAATTGGGTGGAAATTCAAGCATGTGCTTCAGTGCTTTCTAGAATGGGCTTTTCATGCTTTTTGGTTTAAAAGCTATGTCGGTTTCAGCTGTAAACATGACACTTGTTAGTCATCTCCTTTTGGGGAGAGTAATAGATCTTGTGCAGTCATACATGGGGGTTCATTGTATACCCATATACATAGAACTCAACGGAAGTGTTTGGAAGATATCTTTCCTTCCATCCAAAGGAGCCAAATTCTCCTTGTTATTACTAATTGCCCTTGTTAGTACATACTTTTAAAGGAAGCAAGGTTTTTCGGACAAGTTACTGCAGTTAAAAAAATAAATTAGTAAAACACTTGTCCCCTTCTTCACTATTAGTCATCAGATGCCTGAATGCAGAAGTGCCTCTGAGTGGCAGCATAGCACGCTCTGCACAGCTCGAGTTCAGTGCTATTCATCTTACTGCAGTCTTGAACACCCCATACGTGAGGAACTGCTTGTAGTGTTCAAAGGCACCCTTTGCTCGGTTTTAATTCACCTGTTTGCTGTCCATCTGTGGAAAAAAACTGGTGTATCTTTCTTTTCGTTACCATTTACCCAAATGGCCCAGAATAAATAGGTTTTTCACTTCTTCAGGAGAGAGTTCCTCCAGTTGTATGTTCTTTCTATTTTTGTCTACTGGACTTGGGAAATTTGGCAAATACTTACAGAGCTTAGGTCTGTGATTATACTCAGCACAGACACAATTTCATAACAAGTCTTCTGTCCCAGAAACGTGATTGTCAGTACAGATTATGGTTTAAAGCTGTTAAGGTGTTTTGAGATTGAAATAGAAAAAATCCAGCCATATATATCATAGATCTAACTGAACTTAGAGGCCACTTCTTTATTTAGCTTCCTATCTAGTCAGTATTTTCCTCCAGAGGGAGACTTATTTTTTGCGTTGAAGTAACTTTTTAAAATAAACTTAGTCTTGCACCTGACAATACTGCTTTAGTCATACATAGCTGTGAGCTGTTGCTTAAAGAAAGCCATGAGGGGAAAAAAAAAAATCAAGAAAAACTTGCAATACATGTTCTGATTCAACCCTTTGCTGTGTAGGAGCAGCTTAATATAAGATTAGAGAAATGCTGCTTGTAAGACTTACTTCCTTTTGGTCAGCATTTTGATGGAAGCTGTAATGCTACTCAGTTTGTTTGATGAATTTTTACTAAAGCTAATGAGGGAGTGCAAACAAAGGCCTTACAGCAACACTTAATCGTATCTTCTGATAATTCTTACAGATTGTGCAATTATATGATTACAGATGGATTTTTAAATGCCAAAAATGCCTTTTTTAAGAGTTAAATGTTAGGTCTGAGGAGCATTGGAAATAATCTACTTTCAAAAATGAGCCTTCAGGCACTGTAATTAACTTGCTGTCAGTCTTCTGTGCAATATCTTTTTCCCTTCTGGGTGCTTTAAGAGTATACTGTATGTCTTATTTTGTTTTGATCAGTATGTTTTAAGAGTGTGTATATTGGCTAATGATGGATTTTTTCCTGTACAGCATGGTGGAAGATGTTTTAAAATTTTGCACTTTTCTAGGATTTGCAAGTTTGTAACCTGACAATTTTTAACATGCACACTTTTGTACATAATTAGCATTGTATATATTTAACGTGAGTCTGAAGCAAATAAAAGTAATTGAATGCACAACATCTCCCTTTATTACTAGCGCAAAAATGAAACTATTAGTGTGGCAGTACACTAAATGAACAATTCTTCCATTTAGCAGGTAAAGCTAGGCAGCAGGAACAGCTGACTCTGTCCCCTATCTATGTTGTGTTAAAGTAACTCTTTTTTGGTGGGGAAGGGATCAAAGTGGATACCTGAATGTACAGACCCTTTCAGACTAAGAATAGCTATTCAAGTATTGCAATAAAATCTATCTTTTTGCTGGGAAGGAGATGTCTGAGACATGAATTAGGGTGGGAAAAGAGCCCACTAATGCATATTTATCTTTATTTATAAAGCTAAGGTTCTCCACCCACCCTGGGACTAGAAGCATCTCATTCCTTCCTCCTCATTGTCTTCCCATACAGTGACTTTTGCTGCAGAATATGCAAGGCTACAGATTCTGGAGATTGCTGTCAATCAGGAGGAAACTGAAATCTGCTCCAGGCTCGTGTTCAGTTGGTTTCTTACCCCTGTAAGACAAGACAAACCATGCTGTGAGCTTTAACAGGAGCTAGGACTACTGTGCTTCCATCTGTTCCTATGAGTAGGATAAGGCATCCTTATTCATAACAAGCAGAGTTTTGACTCCCTCCTCCTTGCCTGCATCATGGGACATACATATTAGATTTCTTAGTAATGTTCATATGACTAAAGACATGCGTTCCCTTGCTCTAGAGTTCAAGGCATCGGGGCCAAGCTGGCACTCCTCTGGCCTTCTGACTACTGGGGCTCTTTCTGTGAACGGTAACTATAATTTGGAAATATAAACATCAATGGATGTAGTGGCATAGCACCGCACCTACTGGGTAAGTTAGACATCCTTTAGAGTGCTGTCATACTCCTTTGGAGCATAAAGCAATACTCATGTTTTCCCCAAAGAGAAATGGAAGCAAGGGATTAAGCAACTTCTGAGGTGGGGGACAGGCAGCATGTGCCAGGAGTCTTAACAGAAGTCTCTCTTCCTTTCTGTCTGAAGGAGGATATCCATTCAAATTCGAATGAAGCATTTACCTCAAAAACAGACGTGCTCCTGTCACTCCTTGCAAGGTGGCTTTGTCTCCTTCCACTAGAAGCATTGCACCTTCCCGCAAGCCCTAATGTAGGTGGAAATATTTAACATTATTTTCAGGCTATTTGAAAGGCTAGAATGCTTGCCACAAGAAGGCCAGTCTTAGTGCAGCTTGCCATGACTACAAACAAGATTTTCTTGCTCACCTATTTCTAACAAAGATGCCAAGACAAAATTAGGTGAGTTACCTTGTTTTAGAAGCTAGTTTCCTTGTTTATTTTTTCCTTTACAAAGAAGGAGAAACCATTAAGGAGAAAAAGAAAATTTCTTCCCACAATTACTTTTGCTACCGCTATTCTTAAATCCAGTTTGGGCCAAGCAATAGCCAGCTGTGTGTGTTAGAGCACAAGCTTTATAATCCACACTCTAGCACAGGGACAGAAAACCCAAAGGTCCCAGTTCCCCAGATAGACATAATTATGAACGTACTGAATGAGCAAATTCAGAAACCTACAGAAATTAAAATGTAAAGTTAAGAATGTCTGCAAGAAGAGTATGGGGAGGTATCTTGCCATCTGCATGCACACCACCCCCAATATACAATGTATGACTGGTGGCCAGTGACTGGAAAGATCAGAGCTGCCTAAAATACAGTGTTTAGCAACAGGACTCCAAGCATCTAATAGCTAGAATGCCTTGCATTTGTTCTAACCCATTTTCTGCAAGTGAGCAAAATCCAAGGCTGAAGTTCTTAGGAAGAGTATAACCAGCCTTCCATGCCACAGTTCTTTAAGGCTTTGAAAGCTAGCAGGA